TGGCTGATGGCACGCAGATCTAATGGCGGAGTTATGCGGGGGATGATGTGTGTAAGTGCATGTGTTACTACATGTCACTGTGATTGTGTCACAAGTAGCACGGAAGGCTAAGTGTCACTGATGTCTTGTTTTTTGTTTTTTCTCCTTGTTTCTGTCCCTCCCGTCGCTCCCATCGCCGGCCATTTTGTTGGCTCGATCAGGGATGTAATAATGTCTTTATGAGTGATTTGCTAACACTGAGAGGCCTGTTTCTTCCAGCCTTTGCTGTCACTGCCCTACATGATGCAGTGCATGTGGCTCTCTGTACCTTCATGTTTTCATTTCTGTCATCTATGGCTGTCAGCGCTGCCATCTACAGAGGCCAGTCCACTGCGTCTTGTGTCTGCAATTGATCTCCAACCAGCCAGACTAGTTGAAAACAACCCCTCCTCCCACACAGTCTCAAAGCCTCCAATCCTGCCTGCCCTTGCTTATTGATTGATAAATAAAGGAGAAATCTGGGTGACCTCCTCCTGCAGAGCCTAAAACAAGCTGCAGAATTTTCACTATATTACTCATGTATTTTTTATACTATTTCCCAGGTCACCCTGTATGACTGCTTTCACTTTGCATCCTCACAACATTTCAGCTTGAAAAACAAATTCATTTAGTCCCCATGATTCAACCTGTCGAGGTGTCACAGCGAAAGAAGCAACAAGAAGTGCCTCTAAAGTCATTATTAATCTGGCGGTTACAGAGCTAACAGCAAGGCTAAAGCCCCTTGATCTGTTTCATTAGCATCTTCTCATCAGGGCTAAGTGCTGTTAGCAGCATCAGCCAGTGCTAGTCACTGGCAGCTTACAGCTGACGAGGCTGATCAAAGCCAGTAGTCTGATGTAGTATAAAAGCAATTCACCTCTATGTTAGCTCACATGGTGCATATGACTGGGGGACTGTGTCATGGAGCTCAGCTTCCACAATCCAGATTAGCTCAATTTATTTTTAACCAACTTCAAGGTGTTCTGTGTCTTTCATTTCTTCTTTGGAATGTGGGTTTGTTCTTTTTTTTTTTCTTTGTCATGTCCCCCCTCAATCCCAGAGAGTCTAGTCATAGAGCTCCATTCCAGTAATGTCAGATTTGAGGTTGAAACTCATATACACAGCTCCCACCAAATTGTCTGATTTCCAATCTTTCCATTCCTCATACCTCTACAGCCTTCCCTCCTGATCCATGATATTTGAGACATCTTGACAACACCTCTTCTATGTTTTTGTTTTTTTCCAACTCCCTTTCACACCAGCTCTTTTTTTCAAACCCTTGTTCTCCATCTTGACCAGGAATATTAAAATTGGCTCAGCAGGCTTCTCTGGTTAATTAGAGCACAGCAGCGGCAGCAGTAGCAGCAGCCTCATGCTGATGGATGGGACATTGCTGAGCTTCTCACAGGCCAGGATTAATGGCTCCTGTCTGACTAGGATATGGTGTGTGTTTGTGTGTGTGTGCACACGCTTGTTTACATGTGGGAACTGTGTTTATAATGCATATGAGTAGGTGTATTTGTGCACAGAAAAACTATTTATGTGCAAATATTTGTATGAGCTACACCTCTATTATCGTTTCTCCAGATTATCGTACTGTATAAATATTTCATGCGCTTCAGCTGTTTCAAGTGCATTTGAAAAGTGATTCAGTGTCATATTTACAATTCTAACAAAGGTGTCTCCCCCCTCAGAGGGAAAAGAAGAAAAAGGCACTGCACACTGAACTCTGTGTTGCACTAGTGGGCAGTGAGGTATTCAAACCAGTCTTCAGATGATTGTCTTTGAGCTGAGTGTTTGCAGAGGAAGGAAGATGAAAGCCTGGCACAGCTTCACACAACAGGTGTAGTGCGGTCTGTGGGGAATCTGAAAACCTGGGGACAAGTCGATGCACTGCAAGAGATGGATTAAACACCAAAACACACATTTATTCCAAGGAATAATACAAGCCTGCACACACAGTTGAAGTCATTATTCCACAATACAAAACCACAGAGATAGCATGAAAGTCCCTCAACCACACACAAGAAAGCAGGTGGTCATTTATTTCAACTACATTCAGACTGAAAACCTCCTCGACCAATTTTACGTTGTTTTAAATCTAGTATATAAACAGTATATGGAATCATAGCAGTTGACTGGAGTTTATAGTAGTACATGCATTTATTGTAAAAACATATGTTATATATTTTGTATATGTACCATTGAGATTTAATTGAGTTTTGACAAATACCACTAGGTTCTTCTTTGACCAACTTGTTTGTCTTTGTGCATTGCTGCAGTGGGCATAAAATCACTGGCTCAAATAAATTATTTACCATTTTTGCAGTCTCAGAATAGCCTACGTCCAGGTGATGCATTCAGACAAATCGGCCCATAGGATTTTGGTCTTACAGACTTTAAAAATTAAAGTTTGTTTTTGCCATATTTGAAAACATCCAATCTTTGTCACAAGTGAGGGAATAAAGATAATAAATGAATCGTTTCCGCTGTGGTGTGGAGTCAGTTGAAGCAGAGTTTCTGTCAAGCTCATGCCAACACTCCTCATGGGATGATGTGAGAGGGAATGGGTCGGTGGAAGCTCACATGACCGTGCAGTCATCCTGAGGGTTGTCGAGCTTCGCTTGGATTAGAAGCTAGGTCAGGGTAAATGAGACTGGGTACTGATCGCTCTTTCAGTGTGGTTGCCTTACTCTGCTGCAGCTAGCCAAGCACTGTGAGCAAGATAGTTGTCCTTTTTCTTCAGGAAGGAATTGAGGCAGATGGATGTCACGCGAGCAATTGTTATTTTTGAAAACGTGTTATTTTTGGATTGAAACTGGACCAAAGCTGGATTGTGCAAGTCATTTGTAAAACAATGCAGCGGTGAAATGCTGGAGAGGAGACATTGTGGCCTAAAAGTGTGACAGAAATCATAATCCCAAATGCTGGCATAAATATAGACACACAAAAACATCAACTATTCACAGTCCACATGAACACCTCACTGTAACACAAGGATCGTTGCTTGCTGAATGCAAACAGCTGCACACGCAACTAGAATCAATCAAAACCAAACATACTTCCAAAAACAGCATAACCCTTGGAGCTCTGGTTATCTCCTGAGGCTTGTTATGCTTCCTCAGTGTCCCTCGGATGTAATAGTACCATCAGCCAAGCCTGCCACAACCCCCGAATAACTAGCAACATAATGCATGGAGGGTACATGTAAACTCAACATACTACACTTTGATAAATACCAACCTGCGACAAAAACAAGACACACTGCTTCGGTCTGGCGTGGTAGATAATCTCCAACCAAACAGAAATAAATTACTGAATACTCATGTTGGCATGATAATATCACAAATCTATTTACCCAAAAGGGAAAAAAATAATTTTCGTGTAAGTGTAAGCTCTCTGCTGATATCGACACAAGTTACGATGCTAATTGATTTTTGACACTGTAGATTTGGAAATGTAGCTGTTGGTCATCAAAACCAACCCGGTACCACAGCCAAGACAAAGAAAAAATTATCAAACATATTTGATTTTGTTGTAAATATCAATATGACAGGAATTAATGCCATAATGTGATCAAGCAGCACGTAGAAGGAAGCTATCATGAGTGTGTTTATATTTGTAGTAGGGCTGGGCAATTAACATGTAACATGTAACATGTTATCGACACTGATGTTTATAACTTCACTGAATTACTCTTACTCATGTCAGTTAGTATGGTTAATACTTCTCCCATAGCGTGCATTCAAAAATTGTCAGCGGCCCCGACATGCTGCTTCAGGATCAGGGCAGACACACATTACATGTCCAGTATCCTTGTACTGTGCTGCACTCACTTTACACTTTGACAATAAACACCAACACTAGTTATTAGGACACGTACAGTACTGAAGTTGACTTTGTGTTTGTTTGATTCGCTCTTGAGTTTATGAGACACGTATTTAAACACATTGAAAAAAAAGTCCAACATTTTGCATGCTCGTAGTTTGACCCCTCCACCCCTGCATTTATGCTTCTGTCAATGCTGTTGTCACTTTGAAGCCATGCAGAATAGCACAAGGGAAGGTGAGCAGGGATGAGCCTAGCTGTAATAGTAAACTGTCAGTGATGGAAATTAAATCTCACACAATAAATAATGGCTCAGGATTGGGTCAAGCCCTTGGGTCAAGACACGGCTATAGACTCTGCATTCCATTCTGGAATGCATTTGATTTAATGATGGGTGCATCGGCATACGCATTGTCCGCAGTGTGTTTGTATGTGTGGGGCAAAGTGGCTGGGTGTGATTCATCAATTATATTCTGTTGAAAAAAACTGCACATTTATGACAGCTCTCTTAACTGCAAATTAAATCATTGTGTTAAGGTTCAGTACATCGCTTGATGTGTATTCTGACATTACTGAGAGTGAGCAGATGAAATAAGACATTCATATTGCTCAGGCTCCTCTGGGAAGTATGCAACCACACTAAACTGAAAAAGCTTATTTATTGCTTGGCTCCAGACAAACTTTTTTTTGAAGTGTCAGCTTTCAACTGAAAAGAGCGTGGGGATTTTAATATATAGTGCATGGTGTCTAAAAATGCAGACGAGAGCAAACCAAAAGGCAAAGCAGATGGAAGATAAGAAATTAGAGACCATATAAAAAAATAAAAAAATAAAAAAAAATCTTCCAAGGATTTTGACAGAGTAATTGCTAATTAACTTGACCAAGGATAGGTCACAGTTTTACATGGACCTACTGTATTGTGTTTACTGGAACATGCTTTCATGTGACTTACAGTTTTTGTGTCTGTGTTTCTTTCAGATCCCCGCCTGCCACAACAATGATGGGACCCATACCTGTATAAACCTTTGTGGTCGATAGGTTTTCAGGAGAAGAATGGGTTTACGCTGAAACCATGAACAGATCATATGCTCTATCAGACGCCAACAAGCTCTAATACCCGTCTACTCTACCACTCCCTCTCTTTTGCAAATTTTCTTCTGCTTGCACTCCCCTTGAAGAAAGATCACAATCGGATGACTCTTCCCCCAAGCCTTTGGCGGCTGCTCATATTTCCTGGAAATTGCATTGAGATCTGGATTCTAGAGACAAAGCTTCTATTTTCAGTTCAGGATAGACTAAGAGGCTTTTGAAGAAACGACTGTTTTGCAGCTATCATACCCCCCCACCCCCTCTACTGCTCTCCTGCTATAGCTCATTCCTTTCCTCCAAGTCCCAGAGGCACCAACTGATGGAGAGACGAAGGAGAGAGTCAGGATAAGGACAAGAATTTGAACATCAGAGAGAAGGAGAAATAATAGCTGATTCGTCAGAAACATTTTAGTAGGGCCCCTGAGAGGATCACTTTACCCGCTGAGCTTTACATCCCAGTTGTTCAGTGTGATATAATAATTGCTGTTTACATTTCAAATCTGTTGGCTACACTGAACTTCTCTGTGGTTCAGTAGAACTGTAAGGCATTAAGTACAGAAGGGGAAACTTGGGAACTTTGAACATGACAAGGGGGCTAAGATTCCTGTGTTGGCCCCTGTGGCCTCTGGCCCTCCTCAGCCTACTCAGTACAGTGAAGATGCTGGAATTTGGTGGGGCGCCTGGTCAATGGGCACGCTATGGGCGCTGGGAAGCTGGATCAGTGGGCGAACTGAGCTTCAGTCTCAAGACCAACATTAGCAAAGCCTTGGTACTCTACCTGGACGATGGTGGCAACTGTGACTTCTTGGAGCTGCTGATTGCTGGTGGGCGCCTCCAGCTGCGCTTTGCCATCCACTGTGCTGAGCCGGCCACTTTGCACATGGAGACGGGAGTGAATGATGACCGCTGGCACATGGTTTTGCTCACCCGTAACTTTCGTGAGACCCTCCTGATGGTCGATGGAGAAACGAAAGTGGCTGAGGTCAAGTCCAAGAGGAAGGAGATGGCGGTGGTCAGTGACCTGTTTGTAGGTGGCATCCCACCCGATGTGCGCCTCTCTGCGTTGACGTCCAGTACAGTAAAGTACGAGCCACCCTTCCAGGGCTTGATCTCCAATCTCAAGGTTGGGGAGATGCCTCCTACTTTGTTAAATAGCCAGGGCATTCAGAGCGACCTGGAGTACCTCTGCACCAAACAGAACCCGTGCTTCAATGGAGGGTTTTGCTCTATTCAGCATGGAGAAGTTCACTGTGACTGCACCCACACCCGCTTCAAGGGGAAGTACTGCAAGGAAGGTAAGGAACCCTCATATTGTGCCAGTTTTACTCTTATTTTATTGCATTGTTCCTGTGCAATGCCTCTTTTGTATAGTAAAACTTCCATCTGGTAGAGGTAAGGATATGCTGTTTGATTAGGTCATCAAGATCTCTATACTATGTCATTAGATGCGAGAATTAGCACTTCCTTTGAGGTGCTGGGATGTCTTGAGAGCAATTCATTTTCTTGAGGGGACAGTGCTATGAGAGGTTATGCAGAGGAAAATTGCATCATTCTGATGTGTATAAAGGAAATAAAAATAGCCTTTTCTTGGACTCTCTATGTCTCTTGCAGAGAGGTCATAAATGACGTATGTCTTGGTGAGGAGAGTCTACTTGAGGTGCCGACCTCGTAAAAGCTAAAAGAAACTGTCTGTTGCTCTCTGAAAGAGCTACTTGAGACAGACATTTTGTAGTCTTTTATTGTCAAAATAGTTTTTAAAAAATTCCTTGGCTGAAAAAAAGGATTATGTGACTCAGGTGCTACATTGAATGTGCCTGGGATTTTTTTGAAAACAATACTTAACATCAAAGGTGCTGAATATCTAAACAGAACATTTCAAATGCAAAATCACACATTGTAGGTCTTCTTGTGAGTGGCTTTCTTTCCTTCTGTTGTCTCCATCTTTCCTTCTTTCCTCTCTCTTTCTCTCTCTGTCTTCTTTCCAAGCCTATTGTCTCTGGAATACACCCTGCTCTTGCCTTCATTTGCTCTTGGGTTGTGCTCCTGTGCTGTCAGCTCATGTCAAACTCTGTTCTGTTTTAAACTTCTGGCTCCCTCCTTCACTGGCGCATCCCATTTCCATATCTGTGGGGTTTTTTTTCGCTGTCCTTCATCCATCCATCTCTCTGTTTCTCTGTCTCACAGCATTGCCTTTACCCCCGTTCTCCCTTCTCTTCTCAAGGCTATCTGGGCTTTCCATCTCTCTTCACCTCCCTCCTCCTCTGTGCCTCTCCAGAGTTCACTCCCTTACTCCACTTATCTCTTTTTCACCTTTGCCCACTGTCAGCACTTCGTACTCCCTCATCTCTTTCTTTCCTGTCTGCATCTGCACACCTTATGTTTTATTCCCAGTGCAGCAATCAGAAAAGGCATTCTCTCTCTTGGTTCGATTATTCTACTTTATTTCTATTTATTTTTTCTTATATGTGCTGTCCATACCTCATTGTTATATGTACTACAAAAGTCATAAATAATCAATAGCCTCAGCAGCTACTACCTTGTTCTGTGTGATGAAACGACTTGTAATTACTGAGTCTTCAAAAGATAGATAATAATTACTTTGCCAGTTATGTGCTGATTGTTTGAAGGCTTTGCAATTTTGTGGTACTTGCAGAGAAGCTGTGACTTAACTGAAAAAGAAACAAACAGTATATTTTGTTCAAATTTTTGTCTGTAAATTGCTTTTGATAGATCTGAAGTCACAAGAATATAATCAGCCTGCAGCCGCGATTTAGATCAAAGTCTTTAAGTTGTTTTGATGCAGAAAGTCTAGAGCAGGCCGTAACAGTGCAGCTCAAGAGCGTGTATTGTTTGGTCTCTTGCTTCTTTGAGGAAGCCAAACAAATACACAACCCTTTATTTCTTGTCGATGAGTTCTAGGTGGTTAAGAGACCCCTTAGCACAGCACATGATGTCACTGCTGGACAGCAATATGGGTCTTTCTGTGTGCCTGTTTCTCTGTCGCCCTGTCTCTGTCTCATATTTCACAGTTCCTTAATTCTTCAAGCCTTTCCTCCCTGTCTGTCTGTATGCTCTGTGTCAGATTGCTGTGTGGTTGCTCGGAGCAGATACTGCTGCCTGGCTCTTGGCTAAATTGAGAGCAGAATACCAATGCAGTGCTACAGTGACTGCAGGAAACATTTGTCCTTTTGAAATGGAGAGAGACAGTATGATGGAGTGAGAGGGAGAGAATGGAGATGGAGGTAAGGGGGAGAGAAACGGATCAAGACGAAATTGCGGAGAGAGCGGTGGCTGATCAACAGTGAGAAATGGAGAGGAGCGCAAGAATGAGAAATACCTCATGAAGACATTCATTTGATCAGCGTTAATTTATTTTTAGAGATGTTCTTTGGTTTGAGCACCGTAAATTGGGTCATTATGGCTGCCAGTGCAGCAGTGTATTTATTCCTTTTATCAAACACGTGGGTGGGAATGTAAAGGTCTTTCTCTCGCTCACTTTTAGTTGGTTTTAAGACACTTTAGATGTCTGAACTAATAAATCCATACCTCGCTGTGTTAGCTCTGTGGTGAAGGGGTGATGTCAAAGGAATGCTTGTTTTTAAAGGACTACTGCATGCTCACCATAGAGAGGAAGAACACATGACTTCATGGGAACACTTTTAATGATGAGACGGGGCACTTGCAATATACAGTATTCATGTGTCTGCGTCTAGGTGATGCATGATATGCTACTTGATCATTTACACATTTAGCTGAGATTTATTATCAGAAGAATAAGTTTGCTTTCTTGGATCACTGAAACTATAAACTAGAATCCCTTTGACACTGACATTCATTCCCAATGGACTCTGCTGTACTCATTATAGTATTGATTGCCTCTATATCTATCTTTCGCCCCTTTTATGTTTTGATCCGATTGCACACACATCCAAGTTCCAGATGATGGTGTATAAATAGCTGTAAATAACCAGAACACGGTCAGTGGCCTCCATGCCTTCTTCTGTTTACTGACCCCGTTTTCTGGCACATTTTTAACGTATGACACACTTAGTGAGATCACTCATGTTTTCAAACCATGTGAAATCAATAAAATGGTAATAATGTTT